GAGAGAGAGAGAGAGAGAGAGAGAGAGAGAGAGAGAGAGAGAGAGAGAGAGAGAGAGAGAGAGAGAGAGAGAGGCTGCAAAAGGCGGTGGGCGGCCTGGGTCTGTACAGTCTGCGTTAAGCGCACGCGTGGACGATGTCGTCAGGCACCGTCATCCCCGACTGTGCAGGTGCCGTTTCGACTCTTGCGGTTGGCCATTTGGTCATCCAGATGATTTTCTATACAGGCCCCCTATGAGACTCCCTCCCACCCTTACTCATCGTTACTGTCCCCAGCGCATCCCTACTCCCACTGTTAGGGCGAGATCCCACTGGCAAGGACGATTGGAATAAGTGTCGGAATCTGGACGTGTTCCACGGAGAGATGCAGAAAAGCAGATCAATCACAGTTTTCTGCACCTCGCCACAAAGACGTCCAGATTCAGACACTCATTCCAAGCCTCTTTGCGCCCTTAGTGTTTTTACCAGGATCATGGTGTATTGGATATTGTTGATTGGGAGAGGAACGTGCAGCCCTGTTCCTCATTGACTGGAGGAGTGTGGTGGTTTCTTGAGCATTGCGCAATGTGCCTTTTTTTTTTCTTTTTTTTTGCGCATTGTGCCTTGAGTTTGTGCGCAATGTGCCTTGACTTGCTGACTTTTTTTCTTTTCTTTTCGTTTTTTTGGACGGGTTCCTTCGGGACTTGGCTATGCGGTATTCCTATGGAACTTCCCCCGGCGCACCTCTACTCCCACGGTCCTACCTTATCCACTAAGGACCACCACCTTACAGTCTATTACGGACAGAGTTGACTTCGCGATCATCTATACTGTGAAAAAGAAAAAAAGAAAAAAAAAAAGATACTGTAACAGTGTCCCGAGCAGGAGTTTTTGTTGCCCACTTCCTTGAAGAATTGTGGACTCCAAGGACACTTGAAACTGTTGCAGTCCCTTTTGGTTTTCTATGGGCTCTGGGCCTCTGGCTCTAGTGCGCCTGTTGGGATGGGCGTGAGACTCAGCGGCTTCCGTTTCTCAACTCTGTATTGCCTCGGGCATGGGCCCGTAATAGGGCGTCGCTGCACGGCACATGAAACGAAAACCGAAACGAGTGCATCTTCCTGCAGAGAATGGCCAGGTTCATCAGTTTGCTCTAAATAGTAACGAGTGTAATTCGCCATCTTTCGTGGGCAGATGCGCTCGTTTCGTTTTCGTTTCGTGTGCCGTGTGGCAAGGCCCATAAACTATCTGTTTTCCAAAAGAAAAAGGAAAGGCGCGACTTTGTTGATGTGGCTTCTGAGTTTCTGATCTGTGAAGAAAAAACACACAACTGCAAAGAAAGCAGCAGTGGAGTTCAAAATTAGGGCGACTTTGGGCATTGCCACACCACTCTCGAAATGTGTAAAATGAGAATGAACTTCGCCCTAGAACATGGCCAGATGCGCCCACCACATTTTTGTCTTTTTCACATTTCTATAGTCGTGTGGCGAGGCCCTTTGTTGATGTCGCTTCCGACTTTCTGATCTGTGAAGAAAAAACACACACCTGCAAAGAAAGCAGCAGTCGAGTTCAAAATTACGACGAAAGTACCGCGGCCATGGTGTCAGGCCGGGTTTCATAACTACAGGGGTCGGGCGTGGTGTCAGATGGGGAAAGAAAGAAAAGACAAAAGGCCCAAACAACAGCCCCTTTTCTACCTGAATGGCATTTTCGAACACGGCGGGTGTTTTCATCCCGCGCCCATGATTGTTTTTGCATTTGCGAACTCTAAGGGTCTCGCTGCACTACACTATAATACTCGTGCAAAACCAAGAGTGCAGCACCACCGCACCTACTCAAGAAATGAGCGCTCTTGAAAACGTTATAGAACTGTCATAAACAGCTCAAGAAATCCGCAAGAGTTGTCGTCGCTGCACCTGCTCTAGAATTTTGCTCTAGTTACCCTGGCGATTTCATGAGCTGTCAGAAGGGTGCCGTGATTTTCGCTCTAGGCCCTTCGGGCACCCTACCTGGCCAGAAAGCTAGGTTCTATACATTGCCCCCGAACTGCAATTCCAAACTGTATCTTGGCCCATAGTGCAATTATAACTCATTTTTGTCACTTCCGCATACTAGTCTCCCCTATATCTATATATACATGTATATATATATGAAAGCCCAGGTCCTTGTAGAGGTCGGATGCTAGATGTATGACAGTCACCCTCCGTAGTTGGCCATGTGGTTATCCAGATGGTCCATAGAGGTCCCTATTCCTTATGAGACTCCCTCCCAACCTACCACTCTCATTATTTCTCCCTGGTGGTCCTTCTCTGTACCAAAAGAGGTGAGGAATCAGATGGTTCCCCTGCAAGTTGGTGGATTTCTCCCTGGTGGTCCTTTCGAAGTTGCCCATGTTTAAGCTGAGGCAAGTGGGCAAGTGGTGAGGCAAGTGGGCAAGTGGTGGAGTCTACCCGTGCTGAGTCAGCAGTCCCAGTCCCAGTGAGTCCTTTACTGAGAAATACTCTGAGCAAAGGAATAGCCAAAGTAGGCCCACTCTCTTTTCATGGGCGTGGGCCTCAATCCCTTGCACCACACTTTTTTTTCCTTTTCGTTTTCCTTTTTTTTCTTTTTTTTGTTTATTTTTATAAAGCCCAGGGTGTTGTAGAGGCCAAGGACCAGGCCCATGCTGATCACTGGGGGCGGCAGTCGATGGTTGTCCTGACAGGATAGGCCACCTTCCCTTCCCTTCCCCACATCGTCTCTCTCAGCGCACCCCCATATCCCTACTATCTTACCTCAGTGTGACCAGCACTCAGCAACTTGCACCAGACAGCAGTGACAAGCACCAAGGCTGGGCAGCCCCCCAGCCCTTTTTTTTTTTTTTTTTTTTTTTTTGAGTTGCCGGGGCCATTTTTTATTATTATTATTATTATTTTTGGAAGAACACTCCTTCCAGTGTTAGTGCTGCTGATAAGAGCAGACAGCACTACCACCGGAGGAGAGGCTCCATCTATTGGTGGGGAGCATCACCTGCTGGAAATCGGGTCCAGCGTCCCATTACACTTGAAAGAAATGATTTGGAATATCCTGGCTATGTGCGAGTGGCCGTGGTTCCTGCCAGCATTGATTGCCCTGCCAAATCAGGGGATTGACTGAGCAGGCTTATGTGCAAAGCCAGAAGCATCTGTGAGTTGTCTGCCAGCCGAGCCGTGTGTACTTGGAGAACTGATGCTGCCGTTGTATCTCTTCGCCCTCCAAAGGGAGGGCGCCAGATTGGAACTTTAAGGACTGATACTGTCTCCAGCTATCTGCTCCAACACCCGCCTGGTTACCCCAATGCCGGCTGTTCCCGTGGAGAAGAGAAGGGCTGATACTGTCCCCGGSTGCTTGCTCCCCCTCCCGCCTACTGACKGGGGCTGATACTGTCCCCAGCTGCTTGCTCCCCCTCCCGCCTGCTGACTGCTGGAAAACGGGTCCAGCGTCCCTTGTGCTTGATAGTCGAAAGCCTCAGGGCAGGAGCCTCTTCACCTTGCATCCGRCACAAAATCGCCCCTGTCGATACTTGCCTGCCCCTTCTTATCTGTCTTATCTGTCTAGCACTCATCCTCCATACCACTGCTTTTCGACCAGGCAGTTAGAGGGGGGGGGGGAAGTTCGGGGAAGCCCTCGGAAGGTTTCAGGGGGATGGCCTCATCCACCATAGTCCAGTCTTTGAATATAAGACAGTAATCTCTTACTAGTTCTCTACTCCCTTAGTCTGACCCTGGTGCTGGGGGTTCCCCTTTCCATTCAACCTTCCCTATCCTCCCCCCATCAGGTCCCCCGAGCAAGCTTATGCTGAATTCCTGAATTTTAAGTAGAATGTCTTTTTTTCTGTCCAGACTTCTGATTCGGGTTTTTACCTCCTCCCACACAGCGGTTATTTCGGTTTGAACCTGGTGCTGTATGCTTTCCGTAAACTCAGGCCCTTCCAATCTGGCACCCTCCATTTCGAATGTGCAACGCCGTCGCCAGAGCGCCCAGAGTACCGCCCTCCGCCCTACTTTGAACATGGTAAAGTCATCTAGCTGGTCTGTGTGGCCTTCGGGCCAGCTTTCAAACAGGATTGCCTGCCAGCCCCAGGGCCACGGGGCTAATGTTTCCAGCTGCCCCCAGATTCTGTCCCACCACCTCCACAGCCAGAGCGCCCCCGGGCATTGCAAGAAAATGTGTTCGATTGTCTCTGGGCGCTTTCTGGAGGGGAACGAGTTGATGCATAGTTTGCACCATGGGAGGGCGAGGCCTCTCTGTTCCAGGGAGGTTCGATCTATCAGCCAGTTGTTGGTGGGCAGACAGCGGTGTTCCAGGTGCCATTGAAGGGAAACAATTTTAGCCGGTTTGTCTTTGGTCATCTTGAACCACTTGATTGGTCTTAGAGCGTCTTCACTGACATTCAAGTGGTGCCTCCAGCGTTCTGCCACCTGTTG